ACTTGGTCCGAAGATGGGCACAGGGGAGCTAATGGGTTGTAAATATTCTCCATTGAGGTTGTCACTGCAGGAATAAATGCTAGAAAGTGGATCATCTCTCGATGTGCACAGTCAACCGTCAGGCCCATTTTGTTTATCTGTCCTTTCCCACTCTGAAGTCAAGTCTGCTATCACAATGTGGCTTATTAATCATTTACTGCAAACATTTACAGTTCCGTCACATGTTATATTATTTTCCTTTTAATTGTTCATCATGGATTGTGGACATTGCTGGCTGAGATACTATTTATTTCCCATCCCCTTGAGAAGGTGGTGACGAACCCATTCGTGAACTACTGCAGTCCATGTGGTCCAAATATTCCATTTGTGAGTGGTGTTTCGCCCGTTATCATAGTTTGTATTTTGATGGAGCCCAATTCCATGGAAACACATCAAACTCAGGTCCAGCTTGAGTATTTAATACAAGTGAATCCAATGGACAGCAATGGTACAAATGCATCAGGACATTCTTTCCCATTAGAATTCTTGGTCACCATCTATCCTACAGAGATAGGAGGAAGGCTTGTTTATCTGTTCCATGTTACATTATTCTCTGTCTAAGCGAAAAAGGGGCAAATCGGTGAGAGTTAAGGGTAGGCAAGCTGGCTTTCCGGATGGGATAACAAAAAACAGTAAAGCATAGGAACAGGCCCTTCGGCCCACCAAACCTGAGCTGACACACGATGCCTTTCTAAACTAAAAATTTTTACCTCTACGTGGTGCATACCCCCTATTCCCTGCCTATTTATATATCTGTCAAGATGCCTCTTAAACATTGCTATTGTATCTGCCTGCACCATCTCCTCTGGCAGCGTGTTCTAGGTACTTACCACCTTCAGTGTAAAAAATCTGCCTCTCACATCTTCTATAAACTTTCCCCATTTTACTTTAAATCGATGTCCCCTAGCAATTGACATTTCTACCCTAGGGGAAAAAAAAAACTCTGATTATCCATTCTATCCATGCCTCTCATCATTTTGTAAACTTTTACCAGGTCAGCCCTCAGCCTCTGACATTCAAGTGAAAACAAACTAAGTTTGTCCAATCTTTCCTCATTGCTAATACCCTCCAAACCAGGCAACATCCTGGTAAACTGTTTCTATACCCTGTCTAAAGCCTCCACATCCTTCTGGTACTGTGGTAACCAGAACTGTACCCAATATTCCAAATGTGGCCAAACTAAAGTTCTATACAGCTGCAGCATGACTTACCAAATTTTATACTCTACGCCCCAACTAATGAAGAGCAAACATGTCATATGCCTTCTTGACCACCTTATCTACTTGTGTTGCCACTTTCAGGGAACTGTGGACCAGTGCGCTGAGATCCTTCTGTATGTTGATGCTGCTAAGGTTCCACCATTAATGTATTCTTCTCTCCTGCATTAGACCTTACAAAATGCATTATATTGCATTTGTCCAGATTAAACTCCACCTGCCATTTCTCTGCTCGAGTCTGCAGCCTATTTACATCCTGTTGTATCCTCTGGCAATCTTCCTCACTATCTGCAGCTCCCCCAATCTTTGTGTCATCTGCATTGTGACATTGCTAATAAGTCCATATTTTTCAATACATGAGTAAATTCTATCCCTAAAAATCTTCTCCAGTAATTTCTCTATCACTGATATAAGGCTCAGTGGACTGTAATTGCCCAGATTATCCATTTTGCCCTTCTTCCTTTATTCATTCAGGGGATAAGGGCATTGCTGGCTAGGCCAGCATTTATTGCCCATCCCTAATTGCGTAGAAGGCAGTTATCAGTCAGCTAGTGGGTCTGGAGTCACATTTAGGCCTGGCCATAAGGATGGCAGTTTCCTTCCCTAAAAGGCGTTAGTGAAGCAGTTGGGTTTTTCCTCGACAATGGATTCACTGTCATCAGTAGACTCTTAATTCCAGATCTATTTTTTAAATTGGATTCAAATTCCACCATCTGCCATGGCAGGATTTGAAATTGGGTTCCCAGAGCATGTTCTGGATTAACAGTCCAGCAATAATACCACTAGGCCATCACCTCCCCTGTTTGTCTTGTCACCCAAGAAATCTTGCCATCCTTATCCTTCATTTTCACAGTAACATGCTGGTCCTGAACTCTAATCAACTGACCTTTAAAAGATTCCTACATGTCAGATGTGGATTTACCCTCAAATATCCACCCCCAATCTACGTTCCCCATTTCCTGCCCAATATTCTGGTAGTTAGCCTTCCCCCAATTTAATACTTTCACCCAAGGACTACTATTATCCTTATCCACAAGTAACTTAAAATTTACAGAAATATGGTCACTATTCCTGAAATGTTCCCTCACTGAAACTTCAATCACCTGGCCAGGGTCATTCCCCAGTGCCAGGTCTAGAATGGCTCCTTCCCTAATTAGACAGTTTACATATTGTTTCAACAAACCATCCTGGACACAACTAACAAATTTCTCCCCACCAAACCCGTGGTACTAAGTGAATCCAAGTCAATATAGGGGAAGTTAAAATCACCCACCGCACTCTCTGCAACTCCCTTGTCCGCTCCACACTCCCCACTAGCCCCACCACCCCCAGCACCTTTCCCTGCAACCTCAGGAAGTGCTACACCTGCCCCTACACCTGCCCCCTCACCTCCATTCAAGGCCCAAAGCAAACCTTCCATATTAGACAGGGGTTCACCTATACATCTGTCAACATGATCTACTGCATCCCCTGCTCCCGATGTGGCCTCCTCTACATCAGTGAGACCAATCGGAGGCTCGGAGACCGCTTTGTAGAGCACCTGCGCTCTGTTCATGACAAACAACAACACCTTCCGGTCACAAACCATTTTAACGCCCCCTCCCACTCCCTGGGTGACATGTCCATCCTGGGCTTCCTCCAGTGTCACAATGACACCACCTGGAAACTGGAGGAGCAGCACCTCATACTCTGCTTTGAGAACTTACAGTTTGATGGCCTAAATGTGGATTTTACCAGTTTCAAAATCTCCCCTCACCCAGCCTCATCCCATGTCCAACCCTCCCTCTCATCCCCGCCTCCTTGACCTGACACAACCTGTCGGTCCTGTCTCCCACCTATCTGCTCCTCCTGCCTCACTGACCAATCCCCACCACTCCCTACCTGCACTCACCTATCGCCATCCCACCTACCTTCCCCGGCCCCACCCCTCCTCTCTCTACTTATTTCTGAGCTCCTTTCCCCCTCTCCCATTTCTGAAGAAGGGTCCCAACCTGAAATGTCAACTTTCCTGCTCCTCTGATGCTGCCTGACCTGCTGTGTTCCTCAAGCTCCATACTGTGATATCTCTGACCCCAGCATCGGCAGTTTTAACTATCTCACCATAAATACCCTGTTGTTTTTACATTTTCCTGAGCTGTGTCCATTTGGTCTCACTGGATGATCCCTCCCTCTGTACAGCTGTGATATTCTCCCTCATCAGTAACACTACCTCTTTTACATCCCTGTCTGTCTTGCCTGAAATATCTAAATCCCAGAACGTTCAACTACCAGTCTTGTCCCTCTCTCAATCAATTCTCTGTATTAGCTACAACATCATAGTCATATGTGTTAATCCACCCTGTAAGATCATCTGCCTTACCTGTCATACTCCTCACATTAAAACAAATACACCTCTGACTGCCAGTCCTGTTGTGTTCAGTAATCTCTCCCTGTCTATTCTTCCTCTTAATCTTACTGGCCTTTAGTCTCTGACTCCTGCTTAGTCATTTTACTTGCTGACTTACTACTCTGGTTTCCACCCCCTGCCACACCAGTTTAAACCCTCCCGAGTGGTACTATCAAACCTCCCTGCCAGATTATTGGTGCCTCTCCACTTTAGGTGCAACCTGTCCTTCTTGTATAGGCCCCACCTCCCCTGGAAGACATCCCAATTATCTACATACCTGAAGCCCTCCCTCCTACACCAGCTGTTCAGCCATGTATCTAACCATACTATCTTCCTATTCCTAGCCTCACTGGCATGTGACATAGGAAGTAATCCCGAGATTACAACCCTAGAGGTCCTGCTTTTCAACTTCCTCCCTAACTCCCTATGCAGGACCTCATCTCTCTTTTTGCCTATGTCATTCTGACCAATATGGACCATAACCTATGGCTGCTCACCATCCCCTTTCAGAATGTCATGTGCCCGCTTAGAGATATCCTTGACCATGGCACCATGGAGGCAACACACTATTCTGGAATCTCATTTGCAGGCACAGAAATGCCTACCTGTGCCCCTGACTATAGCGTTCCCCTACCACTACTGCTTGCCACCACTTTGACCCTCCCTGCTGCACAACAGTGCCAGTCATAGTGCTACTAATTTGATTGCTGCTGCTTTCCCTTGAGATGCCACCCATCCCTCAAAAGTATTTAAAAGTGGGAAAGAAAGAAGTCAAAATGTAGATTGCTCTCCCTGGGCATTTGATCATGCAACTTTCCAGAAAACTTGGAGATGTCCGCAAACAACTGTCTCAGAAAGAAGGAAACGAGGATCAGGCAAAGTCCGGAAATAAGAATGGAATCAAAATCAGGGAAGTGTAAGGCTATTCGGAGATAGCTGGAGGCAGAGTCTATGCAGTGTGGAGCTAGAGGAACACAGCAGGTCAGGCAGCATCAGAGGAGTAGGAGAGTTGACATTTCAGACCTAGACCCTTCATCAGAACCTAATCCTTTTCCTTTATTAGTTAACGGGATAAGGGCATCACTGGTGAAGCAGCATTTATTGCCCATCCAAGGTGTAGACCCAAAACTTTGACTCTCCTGCTCCACTGATGCTGCCTGACCTGCTGTGTTCCTCCAGCTCCACACTGTATCAAGGTGTAAGGCCACAATGTTTGCAAATACATAGACTGTGTGTTGACACTTCGTTATCATGCGTTGCTATCAGACAGTAACGTGCCTTCATCATCTTTCTGAATTCCCATTTGACACTAGTTTTAAATATCTACAAATATCCTTTTTTTCTCGACTTTCTTGCAGGACTATTGGCTTTCACTGCTTTACAAGCGGCTGGTGGGAACCAAAGTGCTCACTGTTCAAGTGGCAGGCCTGCAGAGGAAACCTAGGCCCGGGCGAGTGATAAGGGACAAGCTGAGAATCTACGCCCACTGTACACACATCCGCAAGTAAGTCTCATTTGCAGCGTTTTTGCTCTTCATTAATATAAGAGAAAATGCACATCCAAACCCTTTGAACGCCAAGTTTGGATAATATCAAAGGAATAGAGGATTTGCCAAAGACTAGGACAAAAGGCGGCTGGATTACTCTGAAAGCTAAGTAAATGTACGCCATTGTTGACATCCAGAAATCTCTGTTTTGCATCACCACTGTCCCCCTGCCCCCTCACAGGTGAATAATGCCATCAAAGAGCATCATAGTTTTTTTTTGTCTTGTCAAAGGGACAGAAGTCACTATTGTTCCGGCTTTGCTGAAGGTAATTTTCTGACAGATAAGTGTTCCAGAACTTTCATCAGTGCCAATGACATGAATACACATATTAGATGATGTGATACACATTAAAGCTAATGACTGTTCCTTCTGATGATTTACTTGTTTTGTTTCTCTGCCATCGTTCATATTGTCCTTTTCCTGAAGTATTGCGTATCTCTTAATTCACCCCATCTGAAAGATTAGAAATGGCCAGTCAAGAGAAAAATAAACTCCTTCTCTGAACCGCAATCAAGTTAATCAAAATATTACAAATGCATAATGATGTTTGCTTCGGATCCTTTGGCCTAACAAATCATTTAAGTTTTGAGGGAGGCAGTGATTGTTAAAGTTTATTATTTAACCCTTTTTCCTCAGGCAAAGGAAATATTTTCTAATTGACCTGTTGAGAGATGTTATTGCATACCCTCTGGAATAGGTGGGACTTGAACCCAGGCCTCCTGGCTCAGGGATAGTGGCACTACGACAGCACCAGAAGTCCCCCCTCTAATTCTGATAAAGGAGACTGGCATGATGGCATACACGCCATACTTTCTACAGGGATTTATTCAGAACTTTCAAATAAGAGAAATGGATTGCTACTCACAGAACATAAGAACTTCAGAATGTATGAAACAGGAACAGAAATAGGCCATTCAGTCCCTTCAATAAGATCATGTTTTGTCTAATCTTGGCCTTGAATCCACTTTCTATCCTGTTCCCCGTAAAAGTTGATTTTGCTACAGTCTATCTCAGTCAGGATATATCTAATGACTTGGACTACACAGATCCTTGGGATCCTGGCCCTCTGATCGTTGAAATTCCACCTCATTTCTATCTTACACGGGGACCACTTATTCAGAAACTGCTGCCTCTATTTCTGAACTTCCCCACAAGGGGAAGCATCCTGTCAATATCTTTCATGTTCCAACAAGATCACCTCTCATTCTTCTAAACTCCAATAAGTCTAGATCCAAACTGCTCAATCTTTCTTCATAAGACAGCCCCTTCATCCCAGGCATCAGCTGAATGAACCTTCTCTGAACTCTTTCCATGGAAATGTATCCTCCCTTCAGTGAGAAGATCATGATGGTGCACAGTACTCCAAGCTGTGGTCTTATCTCAGCACCCTGTACAATTGCAGCAAGATGACCCTCCTTTTTATACCATGGCTGTACATTGATGAAGATTCAAAGATATTTGACATTTAGGAAGGACGGACACGAAGGAAAAAGGAAAGGAAATTATCAGTGCTGGTGATAATACGAGCTGGGGTCAGTACATTAGTAAGGGAGGATCTCAGATCAGAAGAACAATATGCGGTATCTGATCGGTTGGAACTAACGTTTTCAGCCCTGTCTCTTTACTAACATCAGGGGGCTCATGCCAAAATTGGGGAACAGCCTGACAAAGATATACTCACGGAATTGTACCTGACAGACAATATCCCAGACCACACCATCACCATCTTTGGATATGTCCTGTCTCACCTGCAGGACACACCCAGCAGATGTGGAGGCACAGTGGGATACAGTCAGGAGGGAGTTACCCTGGGAGTCCTCAACATTGTCTCTGGAGTCTCATGGCTTAGTTTAAACATGGACAAGTAAACCTCCTGCTAATTACCATGTACCGTCCTCCCTCAGCTGATGAATCAGTACTCCTCCATGTTGAACACTTGGAGGAAGCACTGAGGGTAGCAAGGGTGCAAAGTGCACTCTGGGTGGGGGATTTCAATGCCCACCACCAAGAGTGGCTCAGCAGCAGTACTACTGATTGAGCTGGTTGGGTCCTAAAGGACATAGCTACCAGACTGGGTCTGCGGCAGGTGGTGAGGGAACCAACAAGAGGGAAAAACATACTTGACGTCATCCTTACCAATCTGCCAGCTGCAGAGGCATCTGTCCATGACAGTATCGGTAAGAGTGACCATCGCACAGTCCTTGTGGAGACGAAGTCCCACCTTCACATTGAGAATAACCCCCATCGTATTGTGTGGCACTATCACCCTGCTAAATGGGACAGACTATGCACAGATCTAGCAACTCAGGCAACAAGGTGTAGAGCTGGATGAACACAGCAGGCCAAGCAGCATCAGAGGAGCAGAAAAGCTGACGTTTCTGGTCTAGACCCTTCTTCAACTCAGGACTAGGCATCCATGAGGCGCTGTGGGCCATCAACAGCAGCAGAATTGTACTCCAGCACAATCTGTAACCTCATGGCCTGGTATATTCCCCACTCAACCATTACCATCAAGCCAGGGGATCAACCCTGGTTCAATGGAGAGTGCAGGAGGGCATGCCAGGAGCAGCGCCAGGCACACCTGAAGATGAGGTTCCAACCTGGTGAAGCCACCAAACAGGACTACTTGCACGCCAAACAGCGAAAGCATCAAGTGATCAGAGGGAGGGTTGGTCATGGGATAAGGCTAGGGGTGAGAAAGAAAAGAAAAAAAGAACACCCTTCACCCCAACCTCAAATTCACCTGGACCATCTCCGATACCTCTCTCTCCTTCCTGGACCTCTCTGTTTTCATCTCTGATGACCGCCTTATAACCGACATTTATTTCAAGCCCACCATCTCCCATACCTCTGCTCTCACATCGCCTTCCCCCAACATAAACCAAAATAAGGACAGAATCCCTTTGTCCTCACATATCACCCCACCAACCTCTGCATCCAACATATCATTCTCCGCCACTTCCGCCACCTACAATCTGACCCCACAACCAAAGATATATTTCCCTCCCCACCCCTATCTGCCTTTCGTAGGGACCACTCTCTCTGCGACTCCCTTGTCCGCTCCACATTTCCCGCTAACCCCACCAACCTTTCCCTGCAAGCGCAGGAAGTGCTACACCTGCCCCTACATCTAACCCCTCACCTACGTTCAAGGCAGAAAACAAACCTTCCACATCAGACAGGGGATCACCTTTGCATCCGTCAATGTGGTCTACTGTATCCGTTGCTCCCGATGTGGCCTCTTCTACGTCAGTGAGACCAAGTGGAGACTCGGAGACCGCTTTGTAGAGCACCTGCGCTCTGTTCGCGACAAACAACAACACCTTCCGGTCATGAAACATTTTAACTCCCCCTCCCATTCCCTGGGTGACATGTCCATCCTGGGTCTCCTCCAGTATCACAATGACGCCACCCGGAAACTGGAGGAGCAGCACCTCATATTTCGCCTCGGGAGCCCACAGCCCGATGGCCTAAACATGGATTTCACCACTTTTGAAATCTCCCCACCCTCGGCCTCATCCCATAACCAACCCTCCCTCTCATCCCCGCCTCCTTGGCCTGACACAACCTGTCTATCTTCTCTCCCACCTATCCATCCCACCCTCCCACTGACCAATCCCCACCACTGTCTACCTGCACTCACCTATCACCATCCCACCTACCTTCCCCAGCCATACTCTTCCTCTCTCTATTTATTCCCCGGCTCCCTTCCCCCTCCCCCATTTCTGAAGAAGGGCCCCGACCCGAAACGGCAGCTTTCCTGCTCCTCTGTAGCTGCCTGGCCTGATGTGTTCCTCCAGCTCCACACTGTGTTATCTGGGTACAGGTAAACTGCTTCCTCTGCTTGGGAAATCTAGAGCAGGGTGCATAATTTAAAAATAAGAGGATGTTATTTAGGGAAAAAAACAGGACTTTCAATCTTAGAATTCTGTACTCCAGAGGGTTTTGATTTTTGGATATATTTAAAGTAGAGGTTGGTACATTGTTGGTTACCAAAGCATAACGCTTGTAGAGACATTGAAGTCATTGATCAGCTTAAATAGCATTAAATAGTGGTGCAGGCTCGATGGGCTGAAAGGCCTACTTCTGTTCCTATGTTCCTCTTTTAATAAAGGCCAACACTCCATTCGCCTTCCTCAATACTGGATGTGCGTTAACGTTTTGTGCAGCAGATCCTTCTCTAGTTTCTCTCCATTTTTCCATTTAGAAACATTTACATGTTTTCATTAGTATATTCCCTATGAGATGCTACAAGATATTGGTGTTTTTACATGCTGTGGTTTTGGACACATAGTGTATCGGGTCATGCCTAGAGTTACATGTCCCTCTTAAGTAAGATCCCAATCTGAGTTACACTTTCAAAAGGAAGCACAGAATGTAGGGAGACAAACAATTTCAAAACAGCACTGAGATGCACTTGAGATTTAGTCACTTTCCAAGGCTTTGCCACAATGAGATGGATAAGTGGATACATCTGGATAGTGGTAGGGGTTTTATTTTTATATTAAACTCAAACCTTCAAAATTACAAGTATAATTTATTTTAAAAAATAACTATTTATTCCATAACTGCTATACATTTATCTGTACTGCAAGAGAGATTTTCCAATAGTGCATCAAACTTTAGAACTTATTGAAATTTGTTACAGAATAGGATTACAAAATGGCAACATTTGGTGAATAATCTTCAAATGTGTTTTTCACACATTTTATTTTAGTTTTTCTATGAAGTTGCACTTTAGTGAGAGGTGACAATTCCTCCATTTCCACATGCTGCACTTAGTATTCAGTAAGGGTGGCACAGTGGTTAGTACTGCTGTCTCAAAGCACCAGGGACCTCGGTTTAATTCCATCCTTGGGTCACTGTCTGTGTGGGTTTCCTCCAGGTGCTCTGGTTTCCTCCCATAGTACAAAGATGTGCAGGTTAGGTGGATTGGGCATGCTAGATGGCCCATAAT